CATCGGGCTCCCTGCTCTGCGGGGAGCCTGCTTCTCCCTCTCCCACTCCCCTTGCTTGTGTTCCCTCTCTCGCTGTGTCTGTCAAATAAATAAATAAAATCTTAAAAAAAAAAAAAAAGCAAGATACAAATAACTATGTACAGCATGGTCCCAAATACTCACCAACACAAACATACACACAAAGTCTGAAAGGATAGCAACTGAATGGTTTTTTCTTCTTTATTCTCGTCTCTATTTTCTATTATATATATTTTATACTTTATATAATAGATATTTACTGTATATATATATAGAGAGAGAGAGAGAGAGAGAAAGACCCAAAATGTAATCTTTTTTAATCCATGGTAGTAGTCTATATAGTACATAAGAACTCATTATGAATTTACCTTGGTATCATTAATTTCTTCAGTAAAGAACTAGCAAAGGTTGGACAAAAGAAAATCTGTCACTTGCTATCACTAGCTCCCATATAGTTTTGGTTTTTTTTTAAGATCTTATTTATCCATTTGAGAGAGAGAGAGAGCAAGAGATAGAGCACGAGCAGGGGAGAGAGGGAGAAGCAGGCTCCCCGCCAAGCAAGGAGCCCAATGCGGGGCTCAATTCCAGGATCCTGGGACCATGACCCGAGCCAAAGGTAGACACCCAACCAACTGAGCCACCCAGGCGCCCCAGCTCCCATATAGTTTTAAGACTCATACTGAATTAACTAAAAACAAAAATGGGAAAACTAATATTCAAATCTAAAAAAAATATATTACTATATTTTCTTTTCTTTACCCTTCTTATTTCTGCTGTAGAAAATCCAGATGTCTTGAGTTGCTCACATTCTTTATGCAAAGTTTTAAAGGCTTCCATTAGCTCTTCATACTAAAAGACAAATTAAAAAATTATAAACTAATGACTAGATCCAGTAGACTTTTCTTCATCAGGTTATTGATTAACTTACAGTGATTACTTAAATCATTATATAATAGCATTAAAAATACATCCTTAAACATTTATATAAGACACAAAAAAAAGTAGGTGTGTATAATCTGGTCACTAAGTACTTCTCCAGCTTCCTCTCTGGTTAGTTCCCCTAATTCACATTCTATACTCCAGCTATGGTGATCTTTCAATCCTTGGAATATTCTATGCTCTCACCTCCAGTCTACACACCCCATTCCTTCTGAAAATACTTTATGGCTTCCTCACCCCTTACCTGGATAATTTCAGTTCATCTGTCAGGTCTCAGCATGGATACCACCATCCTCAGAGAAGACTTCTCTAGCCCTGTACCTATTCTAGATCAGAGTGTCATGATATCAGAATAAAAATCATGTAAAATTTTAATTGCCTAGTTACTTGTCTGTCTCTGTCCCCCTCCATTAGACAGCGAGAGTCAAGAGGACAAGAATACTATTATCCTGTATAATTTAGTATCCCTGGGGCCTAGCATGATGCATAACTGATATAGATATTCAATAAAAAGTAGCTGAATGAATGAAAAAAATTACAACTCTTACCCAAAATTCTTTAAAATTAGTATTTTTTTGTGAGCAATGACAGGAAATTAATATGTTTCTTGACTGATCATATCCTACAAATCTGTAAATCATTTATTCTAAAACTCCTCATTTAGAAAGACAACATACATTTTTTATTAGGTTCTGTGCTAACTGACTGGCTAAATGTATAAGTCATTTTAGATTTACACCTCAGATATGTTTCAAGAATAAACATGTCTTTATCATTAATTCTTCCATTAATTATCTGTGCATATTTAGTAAAAGCTATTAATAAACTTCTTCCAGAGGAATTAGTTTTTATCAGGTTTATTGACGAGGGAGTGTAGGAAGGAGAAAATATTTTACATTTACACTTCTCTATTTCTTACATTATGTAAAGCCTTCAAATGTAGGAATTGGGGTAGTCTCATTCTGCTGTACTTCTCCCATGAAATCTACTAATAACATTTGACATGATTATTTACATAAATTTTTCAACACCCAAAATGTCTTAAGAGATCAATATTGACTCTATTTTGAGTGACTGCCATGGCTATCCAAAACAACAAAATATATGGGTGAAAAAACATTTAGTTTTGATTGTTCTGATTCAATCCCAATTTTGAGGACATACTGTATAGAAGCAACTCTACAAAACTCTGAAGGAAAACAATGATGGATAAGACATGATACCTGTCTTCACGCACCTCATAATCTATTGGGATAGACCGACAAACTATTCACAACAAACTGCACAAATCAGTCTATGTATATAGCATAGAATAAAAGCACAAAGGGCTAAACAGGGGCACTTTTTTAAATCAAAGTCCTTTGAAACCTTAAACCTGAATCCCTTCTTTCCATAGTCTTTGATCAGGAATGTGCTTTGAAATCCCAGGACCAAGATTCAGACCAGCCAGAATCCTCAGCAGTCAAGAACTTTTTTTTTTAAGCTTTTTTTTTTTTTAAGATTTTATTTACTTATTTAAGGAAAAGAGAGAGAGCATACACACTTGTGAGTGGGGAGGGGAGAGAGCAGAGGAGGAAGGAGTGGGAAAGGGAGAGAATCCCAAGCAGACTTGGGGCTGAGCCTGAGACTGACCTCAAGACACTGAGATAATGACCTGAGCCAAACAAAGAGTTGGACGCTTAACCGACTGAGCCACCAAGGTGCCCCAAAAGTAGTCAAGAGCTTTAAGACTGTAAGGCCAGGACCCAATATCATCCTAAAACTCTAGGAGAAAGTACACTGAGATTTCAAACTCCTGGCGCTTTCTCTACCTTCTGCCTGATTGGGAAGTTCTTTGAGATCTCAAGCCTAGCTTCTTTGCCTATACAAAATCCTCTCAGGGGCTCACAGGTCCTGATTTGTCCAGGATAGTGTGAATTTATACCTTTGCCTTCATGTAATTATTACGATAGTCCCTTTCTCTCTGATTTGGATGACAAATTGTATAATCATCTAACTGATCAGCAAAGTGTTCTGCAGTCCCAAACCCAAAATCCTATCTACGCACAATTCTTAATAAATTATTCTAAAATCCTAATCTCAGGATTTTTTCTATCTATATACCCCTATCACTGAAATAGTATTTGTGTGCAAAAGCCAATTATTTTCGGAGTGCCTGGGTGGCTCAGTGGTTAAGCGTCTGCCTTCAGCTCAGGTCATGATCCCAGGGTCCTGGGATCGAGCCCCACATTGGGCTCCCTGCTCCGCGGGAAGCCTGCTTCTCCCTCTCCCACTCCCCCTGCTTGTGTTCCCTCTCTCGCTGTGTCTCTCTCTGTCAAATAAATAAATAAAATCTTAAAAAAAAAGTCAATATTTTCATACCTGATTACAGTTGAACATTATTAATAACCATTTTACCTTTAGATGCCACCTGGAAATACAGAGAAGCAAATAAGCTAAAGAGAGATTAACAGGTATTTGAACATGTGCACCTTGACATCCATTACAGATAGTTTAAAAATACCATTTGTGTATTGTATACCTGTTTATTGGTATCAGCCACAGTTTCATCCTGAAGAAACTCACTTGGTACCTCAAGTTTTATTAAAAAACGAGCTAAATATGCTCTTTTCTTCAGTTCATTAGTTCTCTGAAGAAGCCAGTGGAGCACTGGGTAAATTACAGGTTTACTTCCAATCACCAGACCCTGACGAAAGGTACTCCTATAAAAAGAAAATAAACACGTGCAGGTGATCAACCCCCCTCCCCCCGCTTATTAACAAATAAACCTTGAAAAGAAATAAAATCTCAAACCCTAATTTACAATTTCTTGATGGCTTTCCATGACTATTTTTTTTTAAGATTTTATTTATTTATTTGCCAGAGAGAGAGAGAGCACAAGCAGAGGGAGCCCGATGCGGGACACGATCCCAGGACCCGGGGATCATGACCTGAGCCGAAGGCAGACGCTTAACTGACTGTGCCACCCAGGCGTCCCTTCCATGACTATTAAAAAAAAAAAAAGAAAAAAAACCAAGGCTATTCTAAAGTCATTCTGTATATCAACAATAAACATAAAATTAGGCCCGAATATATCACTGGACTATATGGGGAGGTTGTATTGTAACCATTAATTGGTACAGTCTACCTTAATACTTCATTGACCAGGCAAGTTTAAGTGATTGTTTTTATCTAGGATGGCAGATAAATGATAAATGATAAAATGGAATAGTGAGATTTGCCTGACTTTTTTGATTAGACGGAAAAACTGACCCACTTAAGACTTCTACATGACAATATAACATTAAAAGTTCAAGATTATTTTGAAACTCAGTGACGTTCTAAAGCCATTGACAGAGAGACCAGGTATTGCCTAGAAAGACTGACTGTAGCCCATGAAAGTTTAGATATTCAAGCATAGCTTTAAGAAAGCAACACGTGATCAAATTCTTACATGTCTGTGGCATTTCCTGGAGGTTTATATTTAAGGATACCAAGAAGGCTCAACATCCTTTTGGTTGTTTGCTCTGGCATCTCCTCTCTGATATCAACAACTTGCTAACAGATAAAGAAATTGAAAAAATATGTTATTGTTGTATATCTAACAAAGAACCATATTTAAACTCACTGACAAAATTGTTCTCTTAGAGCATAACAGGCACAATGGTTTCTTCATAAAACAGATTAAGTATGGAGGCCCCCAGATTCCAAGTGAGGGTACATACAAGTCAGATCAGGATTTGTATTAAGAATGTCAAGGTTAAAAAGTATCCAGTGGAAAAGACCAGTATATAAGAGACATGACCTAACTTGCAATACAATAAAACCTCTGTAAAAGCATTTTCATTCCAGGACCAAATAAATTTATGTTTGGAGTAGAGAAATAATTTCTAAATAAGGTACAAGCAGATAATTTAATTTTTAAGCTAGTAGAAAAATCTTAAAGATCATTTATTATTACTTTATAGGCATGGAAAATAAGGCCCAAGACTCACAGATATTTAGAGGCAAAAAATGGCTTTCCTGCTATTCTTTTCATCACAAGAAAGAGAAAACTCTTACCTTTGGGTCAATCTCAGCCAGAACATCATTGAGAACTTGCAATAGTTGCATTGGCTCCAGGGAATCAAATGTGATTAAATTATAGTTCTTCCTAAAAGGCTCCTTATTGAGATTGTCCACAATGAATTTGATTTGATCACTCATAATTAGGTCATAACTAAAAATAGAGATAAAATTCCTCAATACTGATAACAAACATTATGGGAAAAAAAATCAGTATTAAGTTTATAGGAAGTAGGAATGAAGAGTATAATTCTTCATGGCATACAAAATGCTGTGAAAAGGGGTATTTTGTTGAAAGAAATCAGAATGTGAAGACTTTATTATGAATGTTACAGTATACTGCTAATATTGAATACCAAATGTTTTGTATATACACCTGGTAAGATAGCCATCATCTGAATTAACACTGAATTCACATGGACAAATAATAAATCCCACCTACATTAACATCTCTCCCTTTCAGCTCTACAACTACCCAGGGGTAAAAATTTGTTAGGCTACAGACATGCTTCTAATTTTTTTTTTTAATTAGCAGCCCATGTTTAAAAAAGTGGGAGATTTTTTTTACATTAAATCCAGACATCCAGTTTCTCTTCAAAATCAGACCTGGCAACCCTGGGCACACATTTGTGCACAGCCACACCCAAACGAAGCTGAGCGGAGGCCGCAAGCTTTAGCCTGGATGTGCATTCTTTGGTTTTGTTCTGGTTTCCTCCACCAAGCACTCTTCACCCATTGATGTTATGGACTATAGGCATCGACTCTGCCACCGTCGAGTAATTCAGGCCCATTTCCCTGTGCCTTCAATAAGGTAACAGCCTCCAGTTTTCTGGCCCCGGCCTCTCCTATTCCAAATCACTTGTATGATTCTCATTGCTCACAAAATAAAATCCAAACTTCTTGAATTTTGATTTTTCAGATCTAACTCAATTTAGCTTTCCCACCTTTATTTCCAAATTGTTACCTTTCACTGTTCTAAATTTCACCCGACTGAAAGTTACTGCTCCCTAGTTTCTCTACCTCTGTCTTCAGTTAATGCTGTTTTGTTGCCTAGAAAGACTCTTCCTCGCCTGATCTCCACAGGTGCAAATCCTAACGGTCTCTCAAGATCTGCCCTCCAAATGCATGTTCCTCCAGGAAGTCATTCTCAAGCTATCTCCCACATTCTCCATCAGAATAACGGCAGCAGCACCTGCCCTCCAAGTTAACCACACTTTATCTGCACTGCTTTCCTAGAGTTACTTTTCTGTTTTGTACTAGTACTTATGTACATTTTCTCTTCTCTACTAGAATGTAAATTCTGTGAGGACCTATCTGTGCCTAATTCTATCTGTGAATATCCACCGCATCAAAACAGTGACTTCTTCTATAGACTGGATAAATGTGTTCACAGGCCCAAGGCCAGAAAAAGAAAGATAAGCCTAAGTCGGTTGGTGGTGATCATAACTTTTTGGAAAAATTAAATATCTGAAAAAAGCTGAAGCAGCTTTACCAAGGTTCCTAGTGTTTCCTGCATGAAGGTATCAATTGTTTAGTATGGGAAGAAGTGGTAGAAATTTTGCAGGCAGGCAATTTTTTAAACTAGCCATTTAAAAAAGGAATTAAAAAATGAACTGCTAAAAAAAGAAATAAAGAAAAAATTACTTCAGTGCTCCTTAATAATTTTTAACTAAGAAATGAATAGATGCTATTTTATCAAAGACATTAGTTGGGGCTGCATGCATTTTGCTCTGTAATAGATTTTTTTTAATTGGGTGGGTGGAGCTGGATATTTGGAAAACATTACATGTAAAATTATGAACAAATGATTATTATTGTTAAAAAAATAAGTCAAAAGATAGTAGAAAGGATAAGCAATGTGCTTTAAAATTTTGCGGTTTCCTTTAATCTACAAAAGGAAAACTTTTTCATAAATTAAATAAAAATCCACATTGGAGATGCAAGTTTTTCACTGTTAAAAATATTTTAAGTAAAAATCCACGTCATAACCTTCACTTACATATATAAGTTTAATGATTTAGAAATTATATGTATATAATATATAACATACACACACACATATACTTTTTTTCCCTTTAAAAACAACAACAAAAAAACAACAACTTGGATAAACGAGTAAAACGTACCAGGAGAGGAAAAGAAACTAGTTGGGTTTCCTCCCTAGGTGCCCACCAGCTTTCAGATGGTTACCCGCTAAGGACAAAGATGTACTCAACAGGTAGGTTGTCTATGCCCAGTGGGCTCTGCGCTCTAAAATTAGCAAAAGCAATTACTCTCCCTCTACCAGCGGAAAGTCGCCACACTAATTCACGAGCACTTACCCACATAAGAGCCCACGGGGGTGGGGGAAGAATTAAAACCAGGACGTACGTTTATCTGGCACAACTCGGGACAGAAACGACGCTGCCCTGGTCCCAGGCCGGCATGAGCGCTGGACCAGCAGCCTCTTGGGATTCCCAAAAATAGTGTTCCCCCCGCCCCTGGGGTTCGGGACAGGGGACCCCACATCCGACCCAGACACCTCGCGGGGGGGTGATCTGGGCTCCCCGACCGCTCAACCCTCGGCGGAGCGGCCCGGAACCCCGCGAGGCCCGGCAAGCACCGACCCCAGCGTTGGGGTCTTAACTGCGGCGACCCTCCACTGGCGAAGGTGCTGCACTGGGAAGGGGAGGAGGAGGGAGTTGTTTCCTTTTGGGGGGGTTCGGGGAAGTTTTCGAGCGCGTGTTGGCGAGATTACCTCAAATTCTCCTCAAGAAACCACTTTTCCCCCCGCAGGAGGCATCCAGGCTCTACAGGGTTCCTAGAGACGAGCTCCTTGGCAACGGTTGCTAGGCCGTGGCATTACGTCACTTCCGGCGGGTGGGCCGGGGCGTTTCCGTGGGGCCCTTGCGGGCGCGCGCTGGGGCCAAAGTACCTGGCTGGCCAAAGTGAGGTGCCCCGCCCACTTGCAAAGTGCGTTTACGGGCCCTGAGCCACGGTGAGGACTGGAGACCACTGTACTTCGTGATGTCAGCTGGCAAGGAAAATATGAGAAGGAAAAAAATGAAATTCCTCACGCCCTGAAAACTTAGTTGCTTGTTCAAACATCTTGGAAGAAACCAACTACAGATTTAGCATCAGTCTTTTTAAAGATTTTATTTATTTATTAGAGAGTGAGAGAGAGAAACAGCATGAGAGGGGAGAGGGTCAGAGGGAGAAGCAGACTCCCCGCTGAGCTGGGAGCCCGATGTGGGACTCGATTCCAGGACTCCGGGATCATGACCTGAGCCGAAGGCAGGCGCTCAACCAGCTGAGCCACCCAGGCGCCCCTAGCATCAGTCTTACAGCAAAATAAAACAAACAAAAAGGGAAACAATTCCTTATGTTTCCTCATAATGTTCAAATTCCTTATGAGGCATCTCCTATTTGCCTTGCCCTGTGCTGGCTGCTGGGGATGCAAAGGAAGCCAGGAATTACTACAGGGCTCCTATTCTCAAGGAGCAGAGTCTAATGTGGATAAAGAGACGATTGAAAGGCAACTCCAATACTATCATAAAAGGGCCCAATAATGGGGGAGCCCAGATGAAGTATCCCGAGTTTATTTGGGTCTGAAGGGACCCTATGGTCAGGAAAGTTTCCATCAGACAAAGTGATGTTTAAGGATCAGTGAAAATTAGCCACGTGGATATTTTTTCGGGCAGAGGGAACAGAACATTGCAAGATGAATCCATTGCTGGCTGCCTTCTGACTATTGAACTATCAAGCAGAGGCATCCTATGGAGCACTTGGAGGAAAACGAAGACCCCTTCCAGCTCACAGATACTCCTGAGGAGTTGGAGGAGGCAACACTTAAAACCTTGAAAAGCTAAATAATTTAAGTAACTTTGGGAGAAACAATAAAAGATTCATATAAGGGACTGCATAATTAACTGATGGTGGGTGTATTAGGAGATTCTCTGGGCCACCAGGATTTGAAACCTGGGTCTGCCAGTTTGCAGCCTCACCTCTCTGGGCTTTCCTGATCTTGCCTATAAAGTGTGGCTCTAATAATACTTTCCTCAAAGGCTGATGTGAGGATTAAGAGGTCAATACAGGTAAAGTAATTAGAACAGTGCCTGACCCTGGAAGAGGGTCACATTTTACCTTTTCCCCCCTGCTTTTTAAAAAACAAGATGGTTAGATTTGCTCCTTCTACAGAGTCTACAGATGTAGGCTATAGAAAGAGATAAGAGTGGTTTATCGGGTAGTTTTTGGTTCCTCCTCTGCCTGTTGCAACTATTATAGAAACACGATAATTTTCAGTTCTGAGAATGCAATCCTGGGTAAATTGGAGTAAGCAATGGAATCCCCTCTTTGCACGCAAACTTGAATGGATTTTATGCTTAATGTGGTTGCTCTGGAACACAAGGAAGAATCTGAGGCCAGTCAGCATGCTTCTTGGGATCCGTATACTGAGAAGCTTATATTCCAACTTGAACCGAAAAAGAGAGACATAGAGAAGCCTGCTCATGTTAGCCTATCTATAGGACCCAGATACAGGTCAAAGGAAGACTTACCACCCCCTCATTCATTTAAGATAAAACCTTGAGTGGACTCATGAAGAGTCCAAGAAGAACTTCTCGGCAACAATTCCACAACACTGAAGGCTGATTACATTCCAAGTCAAGCCACCCACATGAAGACTTTTTTTCCTCTTAGATGCTATATTGAGTCTTCCTTGTAAACCCCCAAAGATGTCTCTTGGCTGAACTGTATTTGACATTTTTAATAGCTGAAGGGAAGTCCAGTTATATGAGATAGTCTTTCTGAAAGATTCCCACCCCTACCCTGACTCTATTTAAAAAAAAAAGTTTCGGGCGCCTGGGTGGCTCAGTGTTAAGCGGCTGCCTTCGGCTCAGGTCACGATCCCAGAGTCCTGGGATCGAGTCCCACATCGGGCTCCCCGCTCGGTGGGGAGCCTGCTTCTCCCTCTCCCACTCCCCCTGCTTGTGTTCCTACTCTTGCTGTCTCTGTCAAATAAATAAAATCTTTAAAAAAAAAAAAGTTTCATCAAGGTATAATTCACATACATACAATTCACCCATTTAAGGTATATAATTTATGCTAATTCAAAAAGATACATGCATCCCTATGTTTATTGCAGCATTATTTACAATAGCCAAGGTATGGAAGCAACCCAAGTGTTCATCAATAAATGAATGGATAAAGAAGATACACACAAACACACACACACACACACACACACACACACACTGGAATATCACATAGCTATGAAAAAGGATGGGATCTTGCCATTTGGGATAACAAGGATGAACCTAAAGGGTAGGGTGCTAAGTGAAATACATCAGACTCAGAAAGACAAATACCATATGATTTCACTCATATGTGGAATCTAAAAAACCAAACAAATGAACAAACAAAAAGCCAAATCACACCTATAAATACAGGGAACAAAGTGGTGGTTGCCAGAGGGAAGGGGGGGTTGGGGGTGGTTAGACAAAATAGTTGAAAGGGAGTGGGAGAAACAGGCTTCCAGTTAAGTAATGAATAAGTCAGGGGAATAAAAGGCATAGCGTAGAGAGTACAGTCAATGATATTGTAATAGTGATGTATGGTGACAGATGGTAGCTATGCTTGCGGTGAGCATAACATAACATATAGAGATTTTGAAGCACCATGTTGTATACCTGAAAACAATGCAACAATGTGTGTCAACAATACTCAAGTTTTAAGAAATTATTATTAAAAAATAGGGGCGCCTGGGTGGCTCAGTCGTTAAGCGTCTGCCTTC